TCCGTACACAAGCGCATCTGTTTTTTGTTCTAACATGTTTCTACGGGACTCCTCGGGCATAGTGCAAAATCCCCAGGCTGTCCCTCTCTTAATACCCACTGGGTCGCCTGCTCTCTTTGCCTTTCACGGCCTCTATCTATTAGGCGGATTAGGTAATAAGTGACATCTATCTAACACTTCTAACTTTCTATACTTAACCCATCTCGCATCTTTAAAATATAAGGATCCCACGCCAGGAAACAAGTAACCTTGTCATCTATTTAACTGTATGCTGACAAAAAAAATCCTATCATTTCCAATCACACCATTAAATACGCATTTTGGTTGTCAGCTTTAACTTGCGTCAGTCTGCTATAGCAGCAGCAACAGCTGAGTTCTATCAACTATTTCCACCAGACTAAAGGAGCAGACAATGGATTATACTCCTGGTAGATTTACGACGAAGTCCAACGAATATTTACTTTATCTTTTTCTTCTTGATTTACCAAAGAGGAGTTTTACATATCTGTGGATATTTAAAGATTCATGAACAGAGCGCTAAAACGGAAGTATACCGAGACAACCTGAGCATCACAGAAACACTAAACCTCCAAAGTAATCAAGGATGAATTGACAGATAATTAGAGGCATCAACTGTAAATCTAACTATTTCTGTATATGCACACACATACATAAATATATATATATATGTGTGTGTGTGTGTGTGTGTGCATGTGTGTGTATATGTGTATATATATATATATATATATATATATATATATATATATATATATATATATATACATATATATACATCAATCGCCGTGCCGTCTTCGATCCGAAGATTGGCTGCCAAAGACCTACAAAGACCTCGCTCTTCCGCTTTCCTCTTGCATTCCACATACGATCCAGCTCTAGCCCATTCCTTGATGTTGTCGAACCAGGTCCCTCTCTGTCTCCCCCTATATCTCTTCCCTTGCACCAATCCTTCCAACACCAGCAACTCCAAATCCCCAGCCGAGCCCCTAAGAACGTGTCCCGCAAACTTCATCTTCCTCCTTGCAATTTGATTCAGCCACCAATCCTTTATGTTAGCCTTCTCAAGAATATCAACGTTCTTAGCTTTGTCCTTCCAGCTTACCCTCAACATTATTCTTAGACACCACATTTTCAATGCTGTTATCCTCCAATGTGCTTCTTTATGCACTGTCCAACACTGACCCATACGCTGCAACTGGTAATATGTATAAATTCAGAAATTTGATCTTAGTCTGGAGGGTGATGTTGCGGTCTATCTATTCTTTATGTTGGTAGAACACGTTCTTTGCCATTCCTATTCTTCATCTAATTTCCTCTTCGCACTTGCCATTTTCTGTGATTATACTTCCCAGATAATTGTACTTCTTGACTCCGTGCCGTCGATGTTGACCTTTACTTGTGGGGATTCCTTCTTCGATATAGCCATTACCTTTGTCTTCTTAGAGTTCAGTTCCATTCCGTACTTCGTGCACGTAGAATTCAAACTTTCCATTAACTGTTGTAAACCTTCTGCTATCTCCACGATGAAAAAAGTGTCGTCCGCATATCTGACATAAATATTTTTACCATTGATGACAATCCCTTTTCTTTTATGTTATGCCTCCTTTATCAAGTATTTACTATAGATATTGAAGAGAATGGATGATAGTATGCATCCTTGATGTACTCCCCTCTTAATGTGGATTTTTCTACTAAATCCGTCATTGGCGCGTACTTGTGCTATTTGGCCCCTGTATAGGTTTTCAATCAACTTTCTTTTTTTCTGAAATTCCAACATTTTTAAGTATAGACATCAGTTTTCCATAATTCACTCTGTCAAAGGCTTTTATATAATCAAACCCTCAAACAGTGTCTTCTCTTTCAGTGTCATTCTTTCTGTTATAGCCCTAAGTAGAAAATTTCTATCTCTAGTTCCTTTGCCTTTTCGAAAACCTAATTGCGTATTACTAAGATGTTTTTCAATAATCATGAGTAATGCGGTTTTTAATGCAAGAGAGTATTTTTTTTTTTTTTTTTTTGAAATGTGAGGAATGAGGCTAATTGTCCGGAAATTGTTGCAGTCAGATGACTTTTGTGTTTTTGGTAATGTAATGAAAATACTTTCTTTAAAGTCATATGGAATAATTTCTGATTGGTAAATCTGGTTAATGAGTTTGGTAACTGTAGATTGTATTCGTCATCTAGACCTTGTAGGATTCCTGCTGGTATGTCATCTACACCAGTTGCCTTGTTTTTTTTTTCCTTGGAAGATTTGAAACTATTACTTTTACTTCGTCTTCTAATGCATAATTCTGATTGCCAATGCTTACATTAGTTTGATTGTTTTCTTCTCTATCGTCATTATACAGTTCTTCCACATATTCTGCCTATCTTTCTGTCATTTCTTCAGTGTCATTTATAAGTTTTCCTTCTTTATTCTTTTATACCTAAGTTGACCTTGTTCGTCTTTTTGTTGAATTGCTTCAGTTTCTGATAGAATTGG